AAACACAATGGAAAAGTGGGCAGCACAGTCTTGGAATACAGAACACAGAATGTGGCACGCTTGCCTGTCGTTGATATTGCCCTGGTAGATGTTGGAGGTGCAGACCAAGAATTTGGAATAGAGATTGGACCAGTTTGTTTTGTGTAAAAAAAATAAAGAAGCAAATAAGTAAATACTTAAATAAATAAACGGGCTTATCTTTTCAAAAGCATTGGGGATGACAGCAGCAGCAACAGAACGCAAGAACTTAGACTGAGTGAAGTTAATCCTGAGACTCTTGAAGCTATAGCTGATAATGCAATCAGCAATGTATATAACAGTTCTTTCTAACTCCCTGGGCTTCTTTAGTGTATTTATTTTACTTACAAATCTTCAGTCTCACTGTCTAAGTCAACATTTTAATGAAGTAAATCCTATTTTAAAATGACAAGTGACCACACCTGGATCTAAAATAACAATAATAATTCAAAGCTAATCTTTGTTTCCTAATTAGAAATGGTAACAATGATTTTTTGGAGGTTCTGCTCAACTTAAAAAAGTGTCATTCATATAATGGAAGTACGCTAAACAGCAGTAGAAAATAAGTAAGAGATTCAGATGTTCACCATGTCAAGATTACCACTCCACCAATGCAGTGCCATAAGGCACCTCCACGGGCAGTCTTGGCCCTGTGCTCAAACTGTTGTAGCATCTGTATGATCCCATACTATCCTCTGTTTGTCAGCTGAGCCACTTTATTTCCAGTTCAGAGGCTGTGCATTTCAAATCACAGTTGAAACAATTTCCCTTTTGACATACAGATGTTCTGGAGAGTGGTTTCTCTTTGGTCGCATCACCCCAGCTCCTGAACTCCACCCAGTCTCTTCCAATAGAGATTCAGCCACTGTGACATCTTAACAAATGCGATTATCTTACAGAACCTTAAAATACAGAACCTTAAAAAGGGACACTCCACAGCCCTTCCCCAAGAAAGCATGAGGATTTGGGGGGAAATCCTTGGAGAAATGCAGACAACATGAAATTCAGATGTGTTGGGGCACTGATTGAATATCATATTTTGCTGCCTGCTCAGATAAAGAGTACACAGATTGGCTCAGAATTAGCTCATGGTTTCTAGACCAGGAGCGGTGAAGATGATCCATGGGTCAGCTTCAAATAGATTCTTAGGAACTGGGGAATGAACATGGTGGCAAGAACAACCCATAGATTGCAACAATAATAATGTGATCCTGTATTATCTATTTAGAAGCAACTCCCACTGAGTTCAGTGGGCTTTGTTCCTGGATAAGTAGGTATAGGTTTGCCAGGTGGTAGATATTGGAAGCTGGCTACACTCTTGAGGAAGATCATTATTCACATTATTGAAGCCACTCCCTAAAAAATGTATTTCTGCAACCAGTCACAGCAGATGATGGAAGTGAATCAGTCTTCCTCAACATGATGTATTCCAAGTATGTTGGATGTCAAATCCTTTAATTCTGCAATCAGCATTGGTGACCATGGAAACTAAACATCTGGACAATAGGTTGAGAAAGATTGAAGAAGGTAATATTTATGTTTTTAAGGCTTATAATTCTAAGGTGTCCCAGAATTCAGAGCATGCTATCTCATTCCATAAATTTATAATCCAAAAAATGTGCTTTCCAAAATAAGTTTCAGAATCAACACTTAAAGATGTTGGTTGAGGAGAGGATTAGTTGTTGACTTAATGAGCAGCCAACCTCTAATGAACAATTATCTCTTGAAAGTAATAAACAGTAGACTATTAAATTTTTCATGTGGTCAAAGTTGAAATTTCTAAATGACTTCAGTGACATCAGAATTCCCCTAATGCAGCCTTTCTCTATCTGAGCACCTTCTAGGCATATTTGTTTCCACTCTGAGAATACCCAAGCCAGCAGGGCCATTACTGAGAATTTTTGTGGTTGGAGTGGATACAACATGGAGATTGTGGAAGGCTGCCCCAACTGCTTCAAGTGTATTGTCCAGTTATGTGTGTTGTCATTTATTCCCATGTATTAATCCCAAATCAGGTATTAACATAATATTAGAGTTTTACTGTGGCGGAGATAAATGTTTCACTTAACAACTGGTCATGCATCATCAGAAATTGTGACATTGCATGTCTTGATTTATTAGGACAAACCAATGGTCCATAATTTCTTAGCATGAGCTACCTCATCTCTAGAAGCTGGGATGCATTTAATAATCTAGTATTGATTCTAGATACGACAAGGTGCTATGCTTCTGTTTTAATTCCAAGAATGGAGATACGCAGGGCAATATAATAATGAAGTAATAATAATTATTAAAATGTTTTCTTTTTGAAAAAAGGGAATGGTGCTAAAATGGTTTCTGTACAATCCTGCAAAAATAAATTTATTGTCATCAACCTTTTCTTTTTTTTAATAGAATTTAGTTACTACATTTTTAGTGTCTGGGAAAAATTCTTATACATTATGTTTTTCCTCTTATGGTTTTATGATCTACAGAATGGGGTGTACATCACCATATTTTTCTTTCCATGGAGCATGTGGCTACAAGCCTAGTTCTTCAGTTGGTTTCTTTGTTGAAGACCTATGTTCTCCTGTTTCTTGTTTGTTTGTTTTTATAAATAAATAAACACACACACACACACACAAAAAGAAAAGCCATACGCATAGCTTTATTCATGTATCTTTGCAAAGCATTTAATTAAATACAAGTTTCATGTTGAGTAATGGCTTCCTTTGTGTAGAGTCCTTCTGACAATTTCAGTCTATTTCTAGGGAAAGGCAACAGGATTCTGTGTGTGTGGACTGTGCATGATAGAGTGTGTTTGCTATGTCATCTGTGAATTAAAAATGTAGCACCCAAAGCATTTAATAAATTAAATTATAAAGGGAATTTTGAGTGATAAGTGTTTGTGACAGTGCTTAAGAGACTAAAGGTGACTTAACCAAATGATTTCCATCAAACGCATACCTGGAAACTTGGGGTTTGACAAGTCTGGCTTTGGAATTCTGAAAATTCAAGATTTATCATTGTTGTTGAATAAAATATTGTGATAAAATCAGTGTCTCAGTTTAAATTACATGGTATATTTCAGGATAGCCATATGGGCCTTTCCCAAACTAGGAAACAATGCTTAAATTATGGGAGATTCAAAGGAAATACCTGTTCATCCATGAGCAGTTCTAGCATTTCAGTATAGATGCTAGAACAACTACATGCTGTGATCTGGAATGTTTGAAAGTTCGTGATGGCTGTTCTACAACCTAATTATATAATAGTTGACAATCTGAGTTTACAAGCCATGTCTTAACACAATCATGGTTTGTTGCATGAGCCATAAGTGGCTGGGTCACACACCACACCAAGCAATGAACCATGAGTTACAATGGCAAAATTAACACAATATGCTAAAATAAAAATGTTAAAAAGACACATAATTTGATGTGATGCACCAATCTGGCCACTAAGAATCAAGGCTAATGATAGATTTCTACCTGGAGTTAAGTTGACCTGAGGTTCTTCATGAAGTGATAGATTTTATGACCACAAGCCCAACACTGAATTCCTATTATGGAATAACAACAGCACACAGCCGTCCCATGCCAATGCAAAGACCACTTGGTTATTCTTTCCTGCTCTCTGTCATTGCATGTAGAATGAAGAAGCGATACAGAACAATAAGAGTTCCCAGGCACACTCCTGTAAAATGGAAAAGATTCTTCCATTAGTGCTGAAAGGAGCTGCAAAGCAGAGGCTGCAACTCATCCAATATGATCCTCTTCCCTATGTAGGAGACATCAAAGGAAATTGGGGGGTTTTAGACATGCTTTCAGGGAGAATCTACTGAGATATGCAACACTTTTTTCATCAGATTCAATCTCTTCTAATTAAACTCATCCTATCCCATCCTCCTCCTCAGATGGAACTTGGGGTAAAGAATTAAGGCTAACAGATGATACATGCACCTCTGGTGAGATGGCAAAGATCAGTGTAGTCTAGCGATTACAGAATTGGTTTAGACTCAGAGAGACAGGTTCTAATCCATGCTCAGCCACAGAAACCAATGGACCATGGACCAATCACCCTCTCTCAGCCTAACCTACCTCACAGGTGGTTGTTTTTGGTGCCAAAAAATGGGAGGAAGGTGCACTAGTTACACCACCTGGAGGTCCTGAATGGAAGATGGGATGTAAATCAAAGAAATAAATCAGAGGAACTTTCAGAAAAGGAGCAGAAGTTTCTTTGATTCAAGATTCTCTTTCCTTTTGTCATAAACCACAGACGAGCTTCAGCTAAGGGTCAAGGAAACTGGATGACACTCATCAGGTAGGAGTGACACTCTTTCTGGTATCTTCTCCATCTAAGTCCCATGCACTAGTCTTTCCTACCACCTTTTAATAAGTACAGAAAGCAGAATGAGCCATTCCAGCAAAGACCAGATCCCCTGTAGATTAAGCAACAAACTTTTCTTTCCTTCCAATACTTCATGTTTTCTTAAAGTTCACTTGTTCAATGTACTGGTTTATAACTTTGGTGGTGGTGGTACCAACTGTGGGCAAATGTGGACCCAGGATTTGATGTGACAAAGAGTGTGACCCTGAAGGACTTGGAGATGTTAGTGGCAGCTTTTCAAGCTTCAGCATCCAATGCAGAGTTTGCTAGGGTCACCTACTTTTGGACATAGGAACTGGCCAGGGTGGACTTGGTGTCCAAACCAGTCAATGATTTGCTGAATAAAATTCCCTAGTCAGTTCCTTCTTTGTTCTCAGATGGGCAACACACATAAAAAAATGGGTGGAGCTTCATTTGCACCATCATGGACACTATGTTGACTATACATTGAGGACACCCTGTTTCAGACTCTTCCCTGGATGTGATTCAACTCGGAATCAGAATTACGACGGCCAGACACAATGTTTGCTTATGGACTTGGCATATTGTTCCAGGATCTCAAACTTTATAGAAGTTAAATTATTCAGAGAAGGACCTCCCCATCCTCTTGTTTACAGTCTGAAACCAAAAGGGGGAACCAATCTTCTCCATCTAATTTCCTTTTCAGCAACACATTCAGGAAGGATAAAAGAAGACAAAGGGGAGCAAAATGCCTTTTGCAGAGGACTCCACAGGATCCCCCACTTTCAACAAAATAATGAAAGCAGCATTGCATCCACACAGTGCAAGCTTTGCCCTTTTATTTTTTAATTATTTATCTTATATCTTGCCACAATCAGCCAACTCTCAGCAGGTATACAACATGTAACATTTAAAACATCCATAGTCCAGTAACAACATAAATACCAATGAAAACATACAAGAATTAAAATGGTGCAATGCAACCAAGAACACGCCCTCTGGAATAGTTTGTTTTTTAGCAACTTCCTAAAAGCCAGCAGGGAGGTGCTTGCTCCTGCATGGGGCTAGGCCTCTGAGCATCTCTAAAGCTGGAGCTGAAATCACCAATGACAAATGGGCATAAAAACTATCCCCTCCCCCTCACTTCAAACATATGGAAGATACACTCTTTTTGAGCCAAGTCCTTTAGCACCTCACAGTTACAGAAACTGATGAGAAACTCACAGTTCACAATGGGAGTATGCTTCTCTTTTTAGCTTCCACAAAAATAGGGACACAGAGCTATTCTGGATTTGAAGTAGCTACATGATTTTATGGTATTATTCTAAGGTGAAAAATATCAAGTCAATGCTAGTACCAATCCATAGGAATAATTTATGGCCTCCGTCAATGTGTTAGAACCTTACCTGCATGTTGTTATCCAGGAAATTAATCACAGATCTTTTGGCTTGTTTAGAAAGTGTATTCCAGTACAAGGTCTTGTTGTCTGGGGTTGACATGAATCACCTTCTGAAGTCTTCCCAAAAGTGCTGGTGGCTTTGGGGTGCACCTGCAGTTGCATGCATTTTTTAAAATGTTTATTTGAATGGTATTCTGAACAACGTACCATGCCTCAGCAGTGTCCAGCTGAGACTCAAGGCAATCAGCTTTTATGGTTTTATGAGTTTGCCCAATGCCTCACAATGGCTGGCACTTCTCAGGGTGGCCTTGGATACCTCTTCATCATCAGCTTTCTTATGCTGGAGAGTCTGAAGAAGATTCAGCCCCAAAGTTGCTGCAGCTGGTCAAATTCTTATTGTATCTTATTAATTTTTTAAAAAAATATGACTTCTTTAACAGTATCATCTCAAGAAATAGGATGACTCTTAGTTGTAATAACTTATAATCTTAGTGGGGTGTGATTAGATATAACAATAGAACCTGTCTGTTCAGCTAAGGATATTCTTGGTGTAAAGATGGAAAAGTCATATGCCCGCCAAATTAAACTTCTGTATGTAAATTTCCATTATTTTCTACACATGATGTCAGACTTATATGGGACAGTATTACAATCTAAGAAAGGCTGTAAAACCTAATCAAAGTCACCAGGTTCTGTTCTATTATGTTTCAATTTCAGTGGATTCTGAAAGTAGATGAAACTATTTTTTATTCTGATGGTATGTTGGTTTTTTTTATAGTTTGTGTTTTGCATATGTAAACTTCTAGGAGCCAAAGAAATTCTCCTTTACTGAAATGCTTTAAATGGGAGGAGATATGAAATAAGGCTAACTCAAAGGTTCTTTGCAAATATCTTTGCTTTGAAAGGGGAACTTCAAGGAGGATGGAGTATTCATGAAAGGGCCACTTCATTCTCCTGTGGTTTCTAATGACCCTTTTGTAACTATAGGAAAACAGAGGAAGAACAAAAAACATTGACCTCACTGTACGTTCGCTTCGGCCATCATCCTATACTTATTTGGAGTGAGGAGGACACTTTTCCTCTCAGACCATGCAGCTTGAGCAAGAGTGAGGAACATGATTGTAATGGTATTTCCATCTTTGTTCACAGATTCTGACAAAAATGCTGAAATGACCTGATTCTCCAACTTCATAGCACATGAATTAGATGGCAAAACTGGGAAGCATTTTCAGCTCAGCACTGTTTATAACCTGCACCAGCTATGAGATATAGCTCTAAATGGAAAGTGAGGTGAAATAGAGAACTCAATGGGGCCCATGCCTTGATTTTCAGCGAAAAAGTAAAATGAGCTTTTGGTAACTGCTTACCATAATGGTGAAAATGAGGAAATAGTGCCCTCAGAGGGGCAATATTATTAAATTTGGCTCTCTACTCCTTGCTTTCCATTCTTTCTCTGAAGATCTGGACCTGATTTTTCAAGACCCATTTTCTATGGTTCTATTTTTTAGATATGGTAGAAATTGTTGATCTGAACTTTGGGAGTAACTTTCTGGTTTGCTTTAGCAAGCTATGTTGAGAGTCAGAAAGGGAGTAACAGAACAATGTTGAAAGAAAACAAGAAAAGCAGACAGCATGGAGGAAAGTGAAAATGTAGTTCTCTTGAGTTTTCAGACGGGAGGATGATGAGCAGGAGTTGGAAAAAGAGAGAGGGCAATGGGAGCAATAGCCTGGATATTATAAGAAATAAGGTTGCCAACTTTGGACGGCAAAAATCTAGATGGCCATGTATCCCTTTGCTGCCATTTAATGATCATCCAGATTTTTGGTAGTCTGAAAGCCCCTGACTCTCATGCCAGAGAAAGCCATCTAAGAAACACGGGACAGAGTTTCAAGGCTGGGGGGAAAAAAAAGAGAGATCAAAAATCCATTGATTTGAAAAGACAGGAGGAAGAGGTCCAGGATTTGAGCTTGGGACCGATCTATATACAGGGCAGTTTTTGTGTGTGTTGCTATAGGCAGAACTTCTCCATATCTATGATTTCCTAATTATCTACAATAAAGTTACTGGGTCTGCCTGGGAATGTGGAGCAGAGAGAAAGAGAAAGAGAAGAGAGATTTAGCCATTCTTGGTATGAAGCTCTGATAGCCTGAACAGGAGGAGTGATAGCTGAAGCAAGAGAAGGAAGAGGAGGGACTTCTCAGCTCAATGGAACTGAAAAACAGCAAAAGCAGATGGTTCTTCTGCCGGGAAGGCCCTGCTCACCCTCTTGAGGAGCAATGGGAATACAGCTTCCTTAAGATGAATGATTAAGGAAAGGGCATCAAGGGAAGAGAAGAAAGGCTCTATGAGCCACTTCTGCCATGCGTCTGGTTCAAAGCCCATTATTTCCCTGGAGAAATGAATCCTTACAGGCAACTCTGTTTTCCAAGATTTAAGGAGGATATATTTTGCTAGGGAAAAAAGGACTAATTCAGATCCCTCCCCTTTCCTTTTTCTCAATTCATTCTCAGTCCAATCCAAATGTAAGCTATTTGTTTGTTCATTTGGCAAAGTCACCTTTCAGTTATATTCAAAGCCTGGTCCCTGCATCCACACATTTTGCTAGGTAACATTATGTAAGAGGCTTATCATTACCTTCTTCCAAAATATATTTGTGACGCTCCGTTAGTAGTACAATTCCCAGATAATCCCCACCCCAGTACTCCTCAAGACTAAATCTGCTTAGTTTTGATGATCAAGCAGGGTGGCCTAGATGTTGCCACTTCTGAGGCTTATTTATTGGACTAACTATGCACAATTGTGCACCCTCTTACTCACTCCTTGCTGTTGCTATTTAGAGAGTAAAATCTTTATTGGAGTTGTCTGGTTTAAAAAGTTACTCTGTAGTAAGAATAGGGAACATGCAGCCCCAAGGCCATTTTTTGCCCATGATTGTTAAACCCTGCCAACAGACTTTCCAGTCATTTTTCTGGGGAAACATACATGAAAACTGCAGTGTAAATCCTAAAACAGAAGTGTGGTCAAAGAAAAAGAAAAAACTCTCGGCCCCACCCAAGTGATGTTCACTTCTTCATCAACTGCAAATTGTTTGACATGGCTTCTATGTGGTGGATACTTTTCCTCAGGATCCATAATAATTCCAACCCCTCCAAGAAACATGATTTTATCCATGACAGAGGTGGCCCACCTATTTAATGACCCTTGGCTCTTTCTGAATGTAAACCAAGGCCTGCTGTACAATGGGCCATGCATTGTTGCAGAAGTAAATTCTAATTTTTCTCAATGAGCAAATTATATTAAAGATAATTTATGAAACCTCCAGAAGAGTAATATAACACAGAAAGGACACCACAGAGTTTTATTACAATATTTTATTATGTGTCTCTGTAAAGAAAAGACCAACAACCATATAAAAGCTTACAAAGATGGTTAACCTCCAACACTATACATGTGTGAATGTGACAAGAGAAGCTCATGATTCTGCATCTTTATTGACTTGTACAGAGTGAAGGAAGAAAAGTCCCTCAGAAATGGCCTACCAACCATATGACTTCCAACTAGAGACATTTATGACTGTTGTCAAGTTTTGCTGTTTCAAGGCAAGTCAATAAAACCTGGCTTGCAGATTTAGAAGGGAAAACGTACACAGCTAGCACCATCATATTCATCTTTTTACACTTCCCTAATTTTAGTGGTCTTGGCCAGCAATGACAGGAAAGTATTGGAGCACCCTTAAAAAATGCAATGCAGTCCAGAAATGAAATAACACAAGTCTGTTGGTATTAGGGCATCCTTTTCTTCTGATGGACTACACTCTGTCCAGCTCAATTTGGCACAGGAACAAACAAACAAACCAAAATGACCAGATGTATTCCTTGCTTCCAACATATTTTTCTTTCGGCTTTCTTGATGGGAATCATCAAACTCATCCCAGTTTCTGTCCATGCTGAGGTAGTTGAAACAGGGAATTCTCTCTAGCTTTATGAACTGCATCTTATAATGGAGGGTAAACTTGGATGCTGGAATCCGTCAGTGCTTGATTGGCTGGGCAAGCATTCAACTAAAATTACAGTTTTGAGTGTTGAAGTTGCAATGTAGCACCATGAGAGTATTGTTGAACATGGGATTTTGGTGAAAGAAAAAAGAGCAAAAGCCATTTTTGTTGTATTCTGTGTGAGAGCAAAATAAGAAAATGGTAACCCTTTATGTGAATTTATCTTGTTCCCCCCCCCCCTTTCCAGAATTTTTGCAAATAAATAACTGGGATACAGTTGATTTGACTCTAATAGTTGCCAAGGTTAAAACAAGAGCAAAGATGGAGTGTGAGTTTGCTTGCTGGGGTTCAGAATGAGCATTATTCTTGATTTATAAGAAGCAAACTGGGCCAACGTCCACACCAAATTCTTGATTGGGAGCGCCAATGTCGAAAGGTGCAATATCTATCACCGGCAACCTCATGGTCTTGCGTGTTCTGTATTCAAAGAGTGTTTTACCCCATTCGCCAGTATGTTTCTGTGAAATGTAAGAAACCAACAACTATGTTAAAAATATACTCAGGCAGAGCAATCATACTTGCTATTGTGTGCACCCTGATTTCAGAACTTCTACTAACAAAGTGGAAATGAGGAAAGAATAACGTTTATATCTTATTTCCTCATCCCACATGATAGGTTTATAAATGGAACACTTTGAAGGATTTCCTTCTATTGATGGGGATAGAGAAGAGTAAATAACTGTCAGCTCTTGGGAAGGCATTTAGCAGATGCTATATTAAAATATTACTTTGCTGTTCCAATTCTGACACTTTAAATTTGCCTTCTCTAAAGACCATAAGGAATTACACGAAGATACTTTTACACTTCTTACAGATTAGATCCAGAGGAAATTAAGCTCTGTTGATTTTAATGTGATCTAAATGAGTCATGTAAACTTATTGTTCCCATTGATTTCAGTGGGACTCAAATACAAACTTAATCTGTAGCAATAATATGTTTCTGCCCAATCTTGCATCCTCTTGAGATATGTGGCAGAGTGGGGGACTTCTTCAGGAACTTGGTGGACTGAAGATGGCTCTGCAAAAGCGGAATTGATGATTGTGGCTAAGAACAAGGAGCTGATGAGTAGTTCAGCTCCTTTGATCCTCTCTGGAGAAAAAGAGATTGCATTCCATATGGTTGCCCCTCACCAGGAGACTGCAAGGCAGCAGTCTCCAGAGGGTGGGAGAACTAGGAGATGAAGGAATTTACCAATCTTGCTCCAGCTGCAGTTGGAGCCTTCAAAGTACACATTTCCTTTGCTAACCACTTTAGGAAATTGCCTATTAACTGCTTTAAAGAAGTTAGACACCTT